AGCTAATGTGAGGACAAGATCTCAGATACAGAAGACAGGCTTGTGGTTAGAAATCATCAAAAATAGAATCTGAAAAGCTTTTAGAGAAAATAAACTAATCACCTATAAAGGAAAGCATATCAGAATCACAGCTGACTTTTTTTTTTTTTTTGTATTTTAGGGAATGGTCTACAGGGTGATCAGGTGTAGGGGACTCTTCCCAGTCCTCGTCTCAGTCCCAGAAGCCAATATTTATAAACCCAAGGTTACGTTATTGGAATCCCATCAAGTTGATTCCAGTCTACCACTTACAATGCAACCCACGGCGAAAATAAAGACACTAAATTATATTTTCAATCATCGGGGAGTCAAGGGGCTCCAAGTCCAGCCACAAAGATGGCTTTCTGGAACCCAGAGAGAGCAACCCAGGGCCTCACCCAGTTTTTATTCAGTGGGGGAGTGGCTTGAGTAGGATTGACTGAGAATTGTGGGAAGTAGGTGATCATTGTGAGCTGAGCCAGATGGGTGGCCTAAGTTTACCTCTGCCATATGCAGAGAGGAGATGCTGCATTATATAGCATCTGATGTTTTGGTAAGTCTGGTGCTTTGGTGTAGTCTTTCAAGCCCCAGGAAGTTATAGCCTCTATCTCAAGGCTCTTTCCCAGCTGGCGGCGCTGAGCGTTAGCTCTACCGTCCTGTCTTGACCCAGCTCACATTGAAGAGCAGCAGGTATAGGTTACAGGGAAACACACACGCCACCTTCAGAGACTATCACCAGCACCTCAGCTAGACCAATACACATTGCTTAAGGCCAACTGAAGGATAAACAGAAGTCCCAGCCAGCTCTGTACATAATACGAGGAAATGGGTCAGGCTCAGTCAAAATGGAGACAGTCACTCTTCTTTCAAGGAGGGCTGCTCAGGTGGTCCTCCACAATCAGGGTCTCACTACTAGATCGGACTCTTAGTGATCCTCCTGTTTACAGCCTCCCGAGAGCTGGGATTACAGGCGTGTGCCACCATGCTCAGTCTGCCCAGTCTCAATCACCATCTCAGTGGGCCCCAGGGGCGAGGCCAGCCTGGCAGGTCCAGGGATTGAACTGCTAACCTCTGCACCTGCTTGCAGGTGCTTTAATCCCCTGAGCTGTTTGGCCAGCCCACTGCTGACTTCTTAGCACAAACTCCCAAGTCAAGGAGAGCTTGAAGTGAAGTCTTTCAAGTTCTAAAGGAAACAACCTTCAACCCCGATTGATGTACCTTGCAAAAACTATCTTTCAAAACTGATGCAGAAATAAGGTACTTCATGGCAAAGAACATCTGAGGAAATTTATGATCACCAAACCAGCATTCCAAAATGTTTTAAAGAATATTTAAGAAAGAGATAACAAGGACTACAACTCCACAAATAGAAGGAATCCACGGGGCAAACAGAAGGAGGGGAAAAAAGAGGGGGAGCCAACAACAGAAAAATAATATGACAAGCACAAGTCAGTACATATCAGTTATGACCATCAATGTTAGGCTCAGTAGCGCAGTACCTGCCTTGCAAGTATGAAGTCTGAGTTTGTTTCTTGGGTGCCCCCACAACACCCTGCCACAACAGAGAAGCCCATTCCCTGACAGATTTGCTGATGAATTCTGTAAGATACTGAGAAAAGAACTAATGAAAAAAATTTTTTAAAATTTTATTTGTGTGTGCGTGCGTGTGTGTGTGTGTGTGTGGCAAGCTCAGCCCACCAGGGGGCGGGGCGGGCTGGCATGTGGTGCTGGGGGATTGAACCGCGGTCCCTGTGCTTTGCTAAGCTTGTTCTTAGTAGGTGCTTTAGACCACTGAGCCATCTCACCAGCCCCAGAACTAATGAAATTGAAAGGGAAAAAGTACTTTCAAATCTATTTCTGGAAGCAAACATTACCCTGATACTAAAACCAGAGAAGGATCCTCCCAAAGAGAACTACAGGCCAGTCTCCCTCATGAGCATAGATGCAGAAGTCCTCAACGAGATGATGGCAAACAGAATGGAGCAAATCAAGACTATACACCGTGACCAAGAAATCATGATTCACCCCAGAGATGATGGAATTGTGCAACATATGCAAATCAATAAATTAATATACTATATTAATAGAGGCAAGCACAGAAGTCCAACTCCAGATGTACTCAGCCACCTTATCTTTGACAGAGATTCTAAATACCTTCACTCGAAAAAAGGTAGCCTTTTAAATAAAGTGCTGGGAAAACTTGCTTTGCACATGTGAAGATTAAAATTGGACCTATGTGTGCTAAACTAAATTGGAGATGGATCAAAGATCCAAATATTAAAACAGAAACATTGGAAGATAAGAGTAGATAGAACAAAATAAAAAAGAGTAGATAAAACTTTTGGAGACATTGTTGTGTGTAAAGACTTTATGAATAATACCCTGATTGCACAGGAAGTGTCACGAAGAACCAACAACTGGGATCTCATCGTGGTAAGTTTTTGCACAGCAAGAGAAACCAGTAAGAGTGAAGCAACAACCCACTTTGTAGGAAAAATGTTTGCCATCTGTTCCTCAGACAAAGGACTACTGTCTAGAACGTATAAAGAATTTAAATAAATCAAACTTCTTATGTTTAAAGACCCAGTCAAAAAATGGGCATCTAAGATGAATGCACACTTGAAGAGATACCCACAGCAAATAAACATATGAGATGTTCACCATTGCTGGCCATTTGAGAGATGCAGATTAAAACAACACTAAGATTCCATCTCACCCAGGAAAGAATGGCTATTTCAAGAAATCAATAGCAGATACTAGAGAGGCTGTGGGGAAAAGGAACCCTTCTCCATTGTTGGTGGGAATGTAGAGGGTGTAAGTGCTGTGGAAAGAGGTACCATTTGACCCAGCTATTTTCCCAGAAAAATTAAAATTGTACCAGTGTTATATGTGTATCCATGCTCGTAGCGACACAGTTTATAATAGCTAAATCTTGGAAACAGCCAGAATGCCCTGAGGAATGAGTGACCAAGCTGTAGTCTGGTTGGGCTGATGAGATAGCTCAGCGGACTAACTGCCTGCTTCGGCAAGCTCAGAGGCCAGGGTTCAATCCCTGGCACCATGTGCAGCGCCAGCCCCACCCCCAGGGCGCACTGAGCCAGTGACTGAGTCTGGGCGTGGTGGTGTGTGCCTGTAATCCCAGCACTGGGAGGCTGAAAACAGGATCACAACGAGTTCCGAGTTGCGCAGTGAGACCCTGTGCCAAATACATAAAAGAAAGAAAAAGCTGTCGTCTGTTTATACAGTAGGGCATTACTCAGCCACAGAGAAAGATAAACTGAAGACTTTTATAGATAAATGCATTCAACTTGAGGCCATCGTCCTAAGCGAAGTAAACCAAATGCACAAAGGCAACCATTGTATCATCTCCCCAGTGTGAGAAGCCCAAAGAGTACATAAGATCCAAAGTGAACACCAGATACTATGAACTGGGAAGAAACTGGTCCCAAGAAAAGAGAAACTGGGACGGGGGAAGGTGGAGGAGAAGGGAAAACACACACATACACACACAGAGGGCAGTTAAGATAGTTATACTACTAATTTCTCTTACTTCATTAAAAAAGAGGTCTGTGGTAGTATTGTTTGGACAATTAAATGCCCGTATCTTATACTCTTGAGTAATTAAGTTAAATATAACAGTACACAATTTATTGATATGCTCATATTATCTTGTTTTGAAATTTTGGTGCTTTTCCTTTTTAAAATAAAAGAATAAACAAATACATGAGAGAAAAAAGAAATACTTTGGGAAGCAGCATCAGTTAGTCTGTTTGAGGCCCTGGGTTTGATTTTCAGCTGTGAGGGCATTTGACATGAATGAAACCAAATGCTTCAGAAGTGGCCTCCCCAGGGCTGCGTCTGGTGGTGCACACCTATAATCCCAGCACTTGGGAGCCTGAGGCAGGACGATTGCCCCAAGTTCTAGGCCACTCTGGGCTGTATGGCAGGACCTTGTCTCAAACACCCAACATTACAAATAAAAGTGGCCCCCCTGGCCTACTCAGATGATGTTTATTAATAGGGTCAAGAATACAAAATCCTACAGTTGATTCATGAATCCCCCTAATGCCTATTTAGGCACGCACAAGAAGAACAGTTAAAAAAAAAAAAAAAAACTGCACGGAGGAGCCTGAGTGTACAGTGCCCACGGTGTCCACAGCCCGCGCACCCCTGGGTCCTCGGCATCACTTTGCATTCCGAGTCCTAGTCTCAGTGTTGGCCGTGTGTGGGACATTTAGTGAAGTGTGGACCAGCTAAGAAGTTGAACTGCATCATCTGGGAATGTGTGGAACACGTGGGTGCTTCAGCTGGGGCGTGGAGGCTCGAGGCCACCATTACTAGCACTCCTGCTGAGGCAGGCATTAATATCCTGTCATCATAGGTGGGGATTTGAGGCTTGGTGAGGCTACTGCCCTGCCCTGGCATCTGCAGCACCTGGGCACAGGGTCGTCCCTGCTTGTGAGCCTTGTCTGTGTGGTTCTGGGGGACCCATGCCCACTCTTGTCCGGCTGGGAGGGCTGCTGTGGAGACTGTAAGCTCCAGACCCTGAAGGTGTCCAAGTGAACTTTAAACCTTTTTTTATTATTTTGGCAGTAGTGGCTATGAACCCAGCACTGTAAGCTGAGCTGGACTCCCATCCCGCCACTCCTGTGTATTGTCTATTTGGAGACCAGGTCTCACCATGTTGGCGAATCGCCAGTGTGCCTCCGCTTCCCAGAGTGCTGGGCGACAGGTGTGCAATACCATGCCCCGCTGCTGCAGGTGACCCTTTAAAAGACCACCACTGGGACTAGGCTGAGGACATTCTGCAGGCAATGGCCGTATGATGACCCTGTCATTCATTCATGTGTTGTTCCTTTATTCGCAAGACAGGGTCTCACCATGTATTTTGGGTTGCCTTTGAACTCGTTGAGTATTACAGGGTGGCCTCAAACTCACAGTGGTCCTCCTGCCTCAGCCTCCTGTGTGCCGGGATCCCAGGCATGCGCTGTCCTGCCCGGCGTCGCCATCCCGACCAGCTGTCTCTCCCGCAGCTCCTCATTAAGCTGAAGACTCGGACTTCCACAGAGTACTTCCTGGAGGCCTGTTCTCGAGAGGAGAGGGACGCCTGGGCCTTTGAGATCACGGGAGCCATTCACGCCGGGCAGCCTGGGAAGGTCCAGCAGCTCCATGTGCTGAGGACGTCCTTCAAGCTGCCCCCGCATATCAGCCTGCAGTGAGTACTGCCCTGCCCTCACCCGCCTGGCTTAGTGCTGCAGCCGCTCCTGTCCCTGTGCCTTGCTGTCTGCATCATGCTTCAAGGCACAGGGTTTTTTCTGCCCAGGAAGGGCCTGGGCCTGTGTCCCCCCTCCTCACTGTGACCTCCCAGGGCCTCTGTGACTGAGGTGGAAGAGACACTGCCCTTTCGCTACAGCACATTCTTCAGGACTGTGTCACAGCTCTGTGGGACACTGCCCCAAGCAGGTTACTGGTCACCAGAATGGAAAGTTATGGCAGCTGTGGCCTTTTTTTTGCTCAATGGGTTTCCTCATTTTTATTCACTCAAGAAACTGGAGGGGCCAGAGGCACACAGCTGTGATCCCAGCGCTTGGGAGGCCAATGCAGGAAGGTCACATGTTCAAGACCAGCCTGGGCTATCCAGAAGGCCCTGTTTCAAACAAAGCAAACAAAGCTGTGGTATGAGTCTGTTCTCAGGCTCAGAGAAACTGCATGAGGGGCAACCTCTGGGTGCTGGGAGCTGCTGGCTGTGGGTGGGCACAGAGGAGGCCAGTATAGGTGGGCACAGAGGAGGCCAGTATAGGTGGGCAGCAGTGGGCTTGGGGAGGGGCAGTGCGAGCGGTAGCTGGTGAAGTTTGTGCTGAGTGATAGGCAGAGAACCATGTGGCGACTGCACACTTTGCCTTGTAGCTTGTGTCTTTGAAAGTCAACTTGGGGGCCAGGGAGATGGCTCAGTAGAATAAGCACTTGCCTGGCAAGCGCAAGGGCCTAAGTTCAATCCCCGGTTCCACCAAAAACAAACAAAAAAAAACCAATGTGGCCAACCTGGAGAGGAGCGGCCGACCTGGAGAGGAGCGGCCGACCTGGAGAGGAGCGGCCGACCTGGAGAGGAGCGGCTGGTGGTGCTGCCTCTGAAGGCCCTTCTCTCCGGTCGGGTCACACCTGTGCCTCTGGCAGCATACCCTTAGCAGGGACTTCTGCGCCCCTCCCTGGAGCTCTCATGACCAGGGTCCCTCCTGTGCCTTCCTTCTGTGCAGTCGCATTGTGGACAAGATGCGTGACAGCAGCAGCGGGATCCGGCCAAGCCCCAACGTGGAGCAGGGAAGCACCTACAAGAAGACTTTTCTTGGTGAGCTTGACACCCGAGCCTGGGAGCTGGGTGGTGGTGTGGGTGGAGGGAGGTGGATGTGAGTGTGGCTGTTGGCCGAGCACCCTAGGGAGGCCGACTCGCACACTGCTGACCACCCTCACCTGCGCAGGCTCCTCACTGGTGGACTGGCTCCTCTCCAATGCCTTTGCCGCCAGCCGCCTGGAAGCGGTGACCCTGGGCTCCATGCTGCTGGAGGAGAACTTCCTCAGGCCGGTGGGGGCCCGCAGCATGGGCGCTGTCCGCTCAGGGGATCTGGCTGAGCACTTCCTGGATGACAGCACGGCCCTGTACACTTTTGTAAGTTAGGAATGGGCTCCTCTTCTGCCTGAGGGGAGAGGGTGACAGTGGGTGTGTGCGGTCCACAACTGTGGAGGGAGGCCGAGGTCAGGGGGGCACAGCTTTGTCCAAGGGACCATGGGGCTTCTGCAGCAGAGTTCCCTGTCCCCCCCCCGTGACTCCCAGGGCCTTATTTTATAACTGAGTCCTTGCTCCCCTGTCCGCAGGCTGAGAGCTACAAGAAGAAGGTGGCTCCCAAAGAAGAGATCAGTCTGAGCTCCATGGATCTAAGTGGCGAGGTGGTCAAACAGGGCTATCTGTCCAAGCAGGTGGGCTGCTGCGTGCAGGGAGGAGGGGACGGGTCTTCCTGGGGCTGCAGGAAGGGGGGGAGGGGCCTGGAGGTGAGCCGAGCAGGAGTGCTGAGTCCTCGCCTTGCCAGCCCTGGAGGTTCTGGGTGATTATCACAGCGTTCAGAAGCAGTGTCTGCGTAATTGCCTGTTCTTTCATATTGGCACCTGCCCGCTTCTTGAGTAGTATTTAGGGAAAAATCCATGTGTTCTTCTGTCTGCTGACAGGTGTCCTTTTTTTGGTGGTGGTGTTAAGGATTGAACTGATAGCCTTCACACTGAGCCACACCCTGCCCTTTTAAAATTTTATACTTTGAGACAGTCTCACTAAGTTGCTGAGTTGCCCAGACTGCATTCAAACTTGGAATTCTCCTGCCTCGCCTTGAAGCGTTCTGGGGTTCCAGGGGTGTGCCACCCTCCAGCTTCTGACAGGAGTCCTGAGTGGGGAGGTCAGGAAGCTGCTGCAGCAGCAGGGAGGGGGTGTGAAGGGGGACTCTAAGGTGCTAAGGGTGATTTGTGGTCTAGCGTGTGAGGCCAGAGAAAGTCTCTGTCTCGCCCTCTGTCTCTCTCTGATTAATGTCATACACATTTATAGTATTTTATATATGGTAGTTAATCATTTCTTTCTCCTTTTGATTTGAGATAAGGTCTTGTTATGTAGTTCATTCGGGGTGGCCTTGAACTCACAGCAGTCCTCTTGCCTCAGCTTCCCAATGCTGGGGTAACAGGTGTGCACCACTGTGCCTGGCAATTCTCTCTCTCTCTCTCTCTCTCTCTCTCTCTCTCTCTCTTTCTTTCTTTCTTTCTTTTTTAATGAGACAGGGTTTCACTAATGCAGTTCAGGCTGCCTTTGAACTTACTATGTACTGCAGGCTGGCCCTTAGGTGATCCTTGTGCCTCAGCCTCCCTAGTGCTGGGATTACAGGTGTGCACCTCCACACCTATCAGTCATTTCTTTCTCTTTAATATATTTTGTACAGGGTCTCACTATGCAGCTCAGACTTCTAGTGATCCTCCTGTTTTCAGCCTCCCCAGCATTGGTATTACAGGCATGGGCCACCACGCCTGGTCTTGGTGGCTGGCTCAGCGCGCCTGGGGCCAGGCCTGGCGCCGCATGTGGTGTGGGGGATTGAACCCTGGTTCCTGCGCTTGCCTAAGCAGGTGCTTAGTCCCTGAGCTGTCTCACTGGTCCTTGCTCATTTCTTTTTCTGATGCAGAATGTTGTCTACAGAGGTGCACACATAGAAAGTATGCAAACATACATGCAGCTCTGTTTGTTTTTGAACTAAGTTGACCCTTAAGAAAACTTGTGTCATTCACAGGAAAATGGGTGCATCTTGAGACCAGTGTTCAGTGAAGTCAGACACACAGGCTTAACTATCACACGGTTTCTCTTATAGGAGAAACTTAAAGAGCAAAATAAAAGAGATACTAGAAGGTGGTCAGGTAGATGGAGAAATGGATGAAGAGGGATGAACGAGGGAATTGGGGGCTGTTACGTCTGTGTGCCAACCCCATACAAGGACTGTAAAATCCTGACCTACAAAAAAGTGCTAATAAAGCCTACCCTTGGGTCCAGTTGGCAGCACCTACCTATCCTGGTGCTCCCCGTGCTGCAGGCAGGGTCTGAACTGCTGTCCATTGGCTTTGTCAGCAGGGGGCAGTGTGGAGCAGCTCTTCATCCCCTGAAGGCTGTCATTTTTTAGAGCACAGCCCGCAGTTGGGGTTGGCATTCAGGACACCCACAGGTGGGGGCGGGGGCGGGGGTAGAGAGCGGTCTCAGTGAGCCTGGCACTCTCTGTCTGCAGGGGCACAAGCGGAAGAACTGGAAGGTGCGCCGCTTCGTGCTGCGGAGGGAGCCGGCCTTCCTGCATTACTACGACCCATCCAAAGTGAGTGTGCCTGGCCTTCCTCTGGGCCCAAGTCCTTCTCCCCACTTCTGGGCAGAGTGTCTTGGCTCTTCCAAGAGGAAAAGTGCCTGCTCTTTCCCCAAGGCCTGTTGGGCCAGCGGAGCAGATCCCTCCTGCACTTCACAGCGTCCTTTCCCCTTTCCATCCCAAGACCCACGATTCCTCAACTTCAATTTCGATTTCGTGTTCTGCTCTGATGTTTCCTTTTCTCATAGGCTGTTCCTAAGTTACTAGTGCTTTTATTTTTAGTTGATTCAAGAACTCCTAGTCTGCGTTTCGGATGAGTAGGGCTCGTGCTGAGGTGACCCAGGTCCAAGCGGCACTTGAGCTCTTCTGCCTTGTCCACACAGTAACGAGAGGGAGCGTCTTCCCCGCTTGTTTCGGTCAGGGGCCTGCACTCAGGCCAGAGCGAAGAGGGCTGGAGGGGCATGGCCGACGCTGCCTGAGGAGCACCCTCCTGGGACCTCCAGACATGCCTGTGACACAGCTGGCCTGTCCGTGGGGTACTGGTCAGCCCAGTTCCACCTGAAGAGACGTTTTTGTGGCTGATTTGCTTCCAGCTGGCTCTCACCTTTCCCGTGGCGGGCTAAGGTCCACCCCGTGGCCAGGGCTGGCTTCTCAAGGCCAACTCAGCCCTCTGCCTGGGGCTGCCCTCCACCCTATAGGGTGGAGGTTCTCCTCCCTTGGCACTGAATAGTGAACACCTCTGGCTTTACTATTTTTTGTTTTGATTTGGTTTGGTTTTGTTTTTTGAGACAGTATCTCACTGTAGAATTCATGCTGGCTTTAAACTCACTATGAATCCCAACTTGTCCTCAAACTTGCAGCAATCCTCCTGCCTCAGCCTCCTGAGTACTAGGATTACAGGGGTGGGTGTACCACCATGCCTGGTATTGCTAATGGCTTTTTTGAGGGTCATACTTCTACCACTGAGTGTAAAACTGATGATCGCTTAATTGAAGGGAACCCTGGGCTGAGGCTCCAGGTATGTAAAAGTGCTCCAAATCCTCCTGAGATGTCCCAATCACAGTTCTGTTTCCCTCAAAGTTTCTTTTTTCAATTTTTAAATTCATTCATTCATTCATTTAGTACAGGGCCTTGCTATACAGCTCAGACTCATAGTGATCCTCCTGTCTCAGCCTCCCCAGCACTGGGATTAGAGGCGTGCATCATCACACCCAGTTTCAGGGGCCGGTGCAGCCTGCCCAGGGTTCTGGGGCCAGCATGGCATATGGTGCCAGGGATCAAACTTGGGTCCTTGCACTTGTCCCAGGTAGTTGCTTAGACTGCTATCTCCCCAGCTCTCCTTCAAAGTTTCATGCCCAGACCTAAACCTGGCCTTGAATGGTGTCCAGTGTAGAGGAATACCTTACAGTTTTGCAAAAATAACTTAGATAACATGGGTTTTCCTCTGACTCACACAAGGACTAGGGAAGCCAGTGTGTGCTGTCTGAGGGTATTAGACTGGAGGCTCTATTGGAGAGGTGTCCAGGAATAAAAAGCGGCTGCTCAGTTGCATCAGATGCAGCCTCAGCAGTGTTGGTGGCTTTGTTGCTATTGGCTGTGAGACAGGCCTGAACCTGCGTATATGTAGTTTGGCCGTGTGACTGCAAGCTCAGCCTCATCTTTATTCATGCAGTGCTGGGGATGGAACTGGGGGCCTTCTGCATTGAGTAGGTGGTCTGCCAAGGAGCTCTGTCCCTGCCTGCAAGAGTTGAGGTGTGACTTCCCTTTTGTGCATTCACAACATTCCTGTCTTTTTCTCTGCAGGAGGAAAACAGGCCAGTAGGTGGGTTTTCTCTTCGTGGGTCCCTTGTGTCTGCTCTGGAGGATAATGGTGTTCCCACAGGTAAGGCACAATCTCAGCCCTGGCGGGGTCTAGGGGCCTCCCTTCTGTCCTGAGTCATGCTGCCAAGGAAGACCTGCGCTGTGGGACTCATCAGGGGCTTTACTGAATGTGACAGCGAATGGTGTGGGTTTTGGTTGGTCTGATTTTTGGTGGCACTGGGGATTGGACCCAGTGCCTTTGTGTAGGGCTGTTCCCCCTACTTTGTTTTTTGAGACA